AATACTGCATCATAACCCAACCCCCCAAGCTATGGATTGTTCCCCAATATGTTGTTGTTTAGTCGTGTCCGACTCTTCGTGACCCCATGGACCAGAGCATGCCAGGCACTCCTGTCTTCCACTGCCTCCCGCAGTTTGGTCAAACCCATGTTGGTCGCTTCGAGAACACTATCAAACCACCTCGTCCTCTGCCGTCCCCTTCTCCTTGTGCCCTCCATCTTTCCCAACATCAGGGTCTTTTCCAGGGAGTCTTCTCATGATGTGGCCAAAGTATTGGAGCCTCTGCTTCAGGATCTGTCCTTCCAATGAGCATTCAGGGCTGATTTCCTTAAGAATGGTTTGATCTTCTTGCAGTCCATGGGACTCTCAAGAATCTCCTCCAGCACCATAATTCAAAAGCATCAATTCTTCGGCGATCAGCCTTCTTTATGGTCCAGCTCTCACTTCCATACATCACTACTGGGAAAACCATAGCTTTAACTATATGGACCTTTTTTTGGCAAGGTGATGTCTCTTCATTGGCGCAAGCATTTATGATAGTGCAATGGAACTCCGCAGCATTTTCCAAGTCTGTTGTGGGGTTCCCACAACCCCCCAGTACAGATCTGGAGAGGGTGTGAGGCGTGCATAGGAGGGTGAGAGCAGGGGGAGTTTGTGTCACAAGCAAAATACTTGCACTAACGGAATGAGTGCTCTGGATATAGCCTTATGGCTTCCAGGCCCAGTTATTCATGGACGTATTCAATGATGCACTTCTTTTGCCCCACTACTGCCCCCCCCAAAAAAACCCTCCACTTTCTTCTGGACAACTCTGTAAACAGTTACAGAGACAAATCTTTTTATTAGTAATTCTACTGTTAACTGGAAAACTTCAAGCAACAACTTCTGATGGGCTCAATCCAGTGCTGGATATGATGTCACACTACAGCAGTAATAGGAAACAATTTTCAGCCTAAGGGCCAAAGACCTTCATGGTCAACTTTCTGAATTGTGGGTGAGGCCAAAGGCACAAGATCAGGCACAGGCAAATTCGGCCCTCCAGATGTCTTGGGACTACAACTCCCATCATCCCTAGCTAACAGGACCAGTGGTCAGGGATGATGGGAACTGTAGTCCCAAAGCATCTGGAGGGCCAAGTTTGCCTATGCCTGCACAAGATGGATGGGGCCTTTGCACAATAGGCTATATTCCAGCCTTGCAAAAGTCAGAGGTTTCTGTAAACCCACATCTGCCCACGCTCCATTCAGGAGAGCTAGAGACATAATCACAGCTGAAGAACACATTCCAGCTAAGTAAAGTCCAATGGGGAAGATAGGGAGGGTGGCCTAGACAGAGTTGTATAGAGAAACACCCTCAATGGGTTGTGGCATTTGCCATGGCTGTACAACACAACATCAGATACAGAGCACATTGTGATGGATAAGTGGTGTGAAGGAAATATAAATATATGCATAGTATTATATAGCAGTGGAATAAATATCTTACACTTAAAAGCAGATATCTTGGCCAACTGTGTTGGTGTTGTTTTAATAGACAGTTATATTTCAGTCTCAGCTGCACATTCAACTTAAACATTTTGCACACACACACCAAAAGAAAACTTCTTTCAAGGCAAATTCACAAACAGTTCCAGACACAGTGAATAGATTGCTACCAGCCTTTGTATAAGCAAGTCCAAAACAGACTAATGGCTTGCAACTGACTCAATCTTTTGCTAGCTATGATGTCATACTACAGCAACTAATCAACCCTTTCCTGTATCATCATCGTAATCAATTTATTATCATTAATTTGTGAATCGGCTTCTAAACCACTGCCTCAATTAAAACAAGACTAAAAACCTAACAAGTGGACTCCTGAGGTAAAGACCCATTTATCCACATGGGAAAACCTGTCAGAACAAAAACATATTGAATTGTTTCCAGAAAGTACAGATTGTGGGTGCCTGTCGTATCTCTGCAGGGCTGCTAGCTATTCCACAGGACAGGAGCAGCTTTGGCATTCACACAACAAACTCTCCTGAAGACCACAGCAATCTACTGGGTATATACATCTGTAATAAGTAAGTGGTTCAGTTGACAGGTGTGCTCAGTTCCTCTATGGGCTGGCATCACCATTCCCATGGCCACAAGCGGCTCAGCAGCTTCTTAGAGGTCTAAGAAGTTTTGAGGGACATAGAGCCAGCTAAACTCAGGCCTGGCCCTACAATGAGACAGGCATCTGCCTCAGGTGGCAGATCCCAAGGTGCAGGATGTGGTCAGAGCTTGGGTGCCCTGTACCCATTACGCTAGCCTGCTGCCCTCTAGTCAGTGGCAGACACTATTCTTTCATGAGTATAGCAGTAAGAGTCAACTAGCAGTCCAATTGGCTTGTAGAAGGGCACCATATTGTCCCTCAAGCAGCAAAATACCTCGAGCCGGCCCTGGCTTAACCCCACAGCAACTCCCTGCAAAGGAAACAGGACAGTCTATCATGGCTCCCCTCTCCCCATTGTAGGCCCAGCTGCTCACTTTCCACTTGGCAATTTCTTCCTCTGTTCCACCGTGCAGAGTTTTCAGTACTGCTCGTTCCACTCTCCGGCAGCCCACTTCCTTCATATCCATCTTCATCGTGACTTGCGACTGCGGCAACCCTGCTGTTCTGACGCTGGAGCCCTCCCTTTATTCAAATTAACTGTGGGAGAGCTAAGCGCAGCCTAGTTAAGTTGGGCCCTAAGGGGATTGCAGTCTAGTGGACTATTACTCCTGTCTCAGTTCATTATAATGAATAATAAAGAGATACTTACACACGTTTTTGGTAAATTATTCATTGCATGGACTGGAAAAAATCAGGGCAGTAATATGTAAAACAGACAACTTGCATGTCTGTGTTCATATAAATATCTAGCATAAAGCCCTTCAAGGAACTCGGCGGTCTCCTCATTAAAGATGAAGTACAAGGATCACGGTTTGAAGAGACAATCAGGATGCCTTCATGCTGTCTTTGTGCAGTGGGTGGAAAGAGGGGAAAAAAGGAAACTCTGATGTGTAAATTCTGACTTTGTGCAAGGCCAAATGGTTTTCTCTTTCTTCCTTTCTCCCCTCATTCTGAGCCTTTATTTATTTATTTATTTATTTATTTATTTATTTATTTATTTGGTATTTATGTATAGATCCAACTGCTACAAACAGGGCTGTGTGCCCTTTCTCACAGAAGACAAAAAAATAATAATCCAATCCAAAATCTGCTGCCCTCCCTGCCGCCAAATAATAGAGTCAGATTATGTGACTTTTCTGCACAGAGAATATTTGTGTCATGTTCCCCCCCCCGCCCCATGGCATAATTTATTCCACAGTGGTTATTCTTTATTTATTGACTGCATTTATATCCCACTCTTTTTATGCTTCAAAGTAATATGAAGATTCCGTCTTCCTAGAAGCAGCTTAGGATGTTTCTCAGTTTGTGACTTGTTTTATTTGCCCAGGAAGGCAAATAATGTGACCCATGAGAGCAGCAAATTAACCAGAGTGTACAACTGTGATGGAATAAAATTAGGACAAATCTTTATTGACAGCAGCAGGCAGGGCAAGGGTTGGCATGGCATTGGATCCCAGGATCAGTTCATCATTCCACAAGCCCCATGTTGATGGAATGGATCTGCTGGGTTTGGATCACTCCAAACCTGTATGACGGGAGTCTACCAGTGTTGAACCTTGCCATGGTATAAGCCGAACAAGCAAGGTCTCCCTGAGGGAGCAGGGTGCAGATTCCAACCAGACAGATACTGAACCCACGCTTGGGTTTGCTGTGGTCAATCCTCCCCTCAGGCCCCTTATGCCCCCCCCCCCGTAATATGCTGACCCTGCCCAATGCCATTTTTGCCCTCATACAAACAATGTTCTTCTGCCTAACAACAGACAGTCATAATTTTACTGAGGGAAAGACAGAAAAAACGCCAACTATGTGCCAATCAGGTTGAGAGAGAAAAGAAATTCATTTCCGGCCCTGTCAACCAGTGACCCAAAATTGCTCAGTGAAGTTTCTAACAACAGGGTGGGTGGGCAAGAAGCTCTCAAAGCAAAATTGTTGAAAGCTTCAGGGGAATCAGCTTTATACAGTGGAACTTTGGGTTATGTACTGTTCTTCTTACGAACGCTTCGGGTAACGAACTCCGCTAACCTGGAAGTAGGTGTTCCGGGTAGCAAACTTTGCCCTGGGCAGCGGCGTAGCGTGGGTTGTCAGCACCCGGGGCAAGGCAAGTAATTTGCACCCCCTAACCCCTAACCTGCCGCCGCTGCCAGCTTCTTCTTGCTGCTGCCTGGTCTGGTCTGGTGTGGTTCTCTCCCGCGCTCAGCGCTGCGCTGGGCAGCCGCTGCACTGTCCCTCCCCCAGATAGTCCCTCGCTCTCTCTCCGCACCGCACGCCTGGCACCCACCCCCTCCACAGTGGGCGGCGACCCAGCGGCTCGGATCGGATTTGCACAGCCAGCACTACAGTGAGAGAGAGTGAGTGAGCCAGGTAGGGGCAGAGAGCTGCGAGTGCGCCCGGTGCGGCCGGCCCCCCCTGCACCCCCCACGCTACGCCACTGGCCCTGGGATGTGAGTGGAAGTCTCATGGCGGCAGTGGGAGGCCCCATTAGTGAAAGTGCACCTCAGGTTAAGAACAGTTTCGGGTTAAGAATGGACCTCTGGAACGAATTAAGTTCATAAATGCAGGTACCACTGTATAGGCTTTTCCCTCTCCTCTTCAGCAAGGGGTCATGGGACAGATTTTTCCCATGAACCCATCACACAGAGAAGATACTGAGCAAAACCTTGCCCAGTATTTTGCTGTAATCCATGGGCCACAGTGCCACCGGGCAAAGGTGTCCCATGCTTATTGGGCACAGAACAGGGCTTTTACTTATTTATTGCATTTGCATCCTACCTTCCACCCCCCTCCAAACAGATCCCCACAACAACCCTGTGAGGTAGGTAGGGCGGAGAGGCAGTGACAGGCCTTGAGTCACCCAGTGAGCTTCATGGCAGAGTAGGAATTTGAACCCTGGTTTCCCAAGTCTTGGTCTGACACTCTAACCACTATGCCACACTGACTCTATTCTGCAGACACTATGGAGGTTATGATAGTCATAAGAGCAGCAAAGACACCATAGCCAGGCCTCACCTGTTGGAATTCTGCCTGGGTCAGAGGAATGTGCCACAGCGTAGGCACCGGCAGATATTCCTGTCGACCTCCCCGCGTCTCCACTCTGCTGATAAGCAGGCGAGGTCCGGCGATTCTTCTCAGATGTATGAGAGGAACACACCGTTCTTCCTCTCTCCCTTTGGTGTCCCCAGGGAGGGGAAGAAGCAGACAGAAAACTATTTACATCATTTATTTCTGCCTCTTACATCAGTACAGAGAATCATGTCTGCACTCAACAACAGCAAGAAGAAACTCCTCCCAAGTACATCCAGTACGGGTCATATGACACACACACACTGAGCTAACATCCGGTGCTCAGTACAGAATGGACTGCCCCTTTGTTCCCATGGCAACAGTCACAAACATCCTGTCTGGCTTTCCAGCCACAAGCAGCTGGCTGAGCTGCTAGAGCCTTTGCTTGCTGCAGCATTGGTGCTTTATGGTAACATACTCCCCCTAAAGTATCAATGTGTGCTGCGAGCAAAGCGTCATCCAGAGAAGAAAACAAACAGTTGTTATATTTATAACATTCCCCTGTTGTTTCAGTTCCACCCTTGGAACTACCCGCCACTGGTTTAACCAATGTACCTCTCTGGTTGTGTGACTTCGCATTACCTTGGTTAACACCTCTCTGTTGTGCCTTTGTCTCTGACTCAGACACAGCTTCAAGCTGTCCTTGGTCGTTTACAATAGCAACATATGCAAGGTTAGCAAACTCCTTTGAATACCTCTTGGGTGGTACACCCTTCGTTGCTCTCTCAGACCTACGTATGAGGTTCTGATCCTCTGTGCTCACTGGTTCAACCTTTGGACTCTGTTGAGAACCAGTAGCAATCAGTGGTTCTTCCTTCACCTGTGAAGGTCTATCCATTGTGTGAGATTTCCTCTCAATGACTGTTACAACTGAACTCTCTGAGCTATCACTGTCATCATCAGTACTACTGAACTCAATAAGATCAAACTCATCATCATCATCATCAGAATCGTTTCCTGTGGGAAATGTCTGTACTATCCGCTCTTGCTTTGGAGCACTCTCTAGGAACTTTGTGAGAATCACCTGACCAGATTCAGACAAAATTACTCTGTAGAGACCTTTTTCATAACCTACGAAAATGCCTCTGGCATTCTTTACTCCACCTGGAGCTTCTGTTCTCACATGAGACCCGAAAACCTTAAAATAGGCAACAGAAGGTTTTCTATTGAACAGCTTCTCAAAAGGAGAACATCCCAACTCTGTTGAGACCTTTCTCAACCACACATGAAGATAGGACGCTAGCGATTCGGCCCAATATTCATGTGGCAAATGTGAACTCAGCAATTGCGCATTCATCCCCTTTTGCAATTCTTTGTTCACTCTCACACAGACCCCCCTGTTCCACGCTTCTTGCGAAACAGCCACTTTGTGGTCTATCCCTTTTCCATCCAGGAACTTCTGAAACTTCTGCAACAGAAAAATTTGCTTCTCATCTGTGAAAAGACAATCAATGTTAGCATCATGCATACTTTTAACCTTGTCACAAAACTCCTGAAACTTTTCTAAAGTTTCTTGCGGTTTCTCCATCATATAAACCCAAGAATAATTAGTGAAACAATCCACACACACAAGGTAAAATCGTGCACCGCCTCTAGATGGTTCTAGAGGACCAATCACATCAGCATACACCCGCTGAAATGCTCTGTTGACCTTCTTCGTCTTAGTCACCTTCCTGGTGCTCACACTGGTCACTCCTGCAAGAGAGATTTCGTTAGAAACAGCAGAATTACATTTCATGTAATCACTTTGATCAAAAGTCAACAAATACAGTCCATCTTTCTCTTTGGCAGTAAGAAACAGTTCTCCATCTTTGTAGATCTTGCAGCTTTTAGCATCATAGGACAGTTTCAGTCCTTTCTTTGCAATCTGCGACACGCTCAGCAGATTAAATCTCAGTTCTGGAACCAGGTAAACATCACTTATAGTCAAGTTCAGACTCTCAAGATACACAGTCCCAATTCCAGTTGCTTCCAACTCCTGACCGTTGGCCTGTTTCACAGTGAAGCTTTGCTTCTTCAACGTCGAAAACAGTCCTCTGTGCGGGCACATGTGAACCGTTGCGCCCGTGTCAATTATGAACGAGTTCCCAACATCTGGCGTGGTTCCTTTCGCCATCATAGCCTTTGCAGGTTTCACCTGGCACTTGGAACGGCTTTTGCCTGACGCCTGAGGCTTCGTAGAGCTGCTCTTTGCTCCTCTTGACTGGCGCGGCTTCTTACAGTTCCGCTGTAGATGCCCAGTCTGTCCACAATTGTAGCATCGGACAGCACTCAATGCTACACCATGCTCTCCAGTAGCATCAGCAGGGGGGAATTAGAACTCTGTTCTTCCCTCCCCCTGTCTTTTTCTTCCAGTGCAGCAAGTCTGTCGTGTTCATTCAGGACCACAGCACAAACTCTCTCCGCGGTCAGCTGCGCGGCCGGTAGGGAACCAAGCTGACTGGCAACAACCTTGTAGGTGCGGCTAAGGCTGTTTATCATCATGAAGCAAAACACTTCCTCCTGAAGACGAAAATTGCGTTCCACCATCTGTTGACGCAGAAACTTCATTTCTGTCAGGTGCGCTTGAACATCTCCATCAGGCGCAAGTCTCAGATTGGTCAATTTCTCAAAATACAGCAACGCTGAAGAACCAGCATCTCTCTGATGCGTTGTACGCAGCGTGTCCCATACCTCTTTCGCATTTTCTAAATGCTGAACATGCACCAACTGATCATCTGAGACACACAGAATTATAGCAGTCCTGGCCCTTACATTCTGTGACTCCCAACCTCTGGTTGGTGCTGCAGGGATGGGGTTTTCAATTACATCAAAAAGCCTCTGATTCTGCAGCAGGGCCTTCATCTTTACAGACCAAGATGAATAATTGTCATTGGTTAAGGGAGGTGGGCAAGGCAAACCTCCCCCTTTCTTGGCATCCATCTTGAAGCCAAGCCTCCAGCTCACAATGTCAAACAAACTGTAAAATCCAACAGTTGTTTTTTTTCTTTTCTCACGCAGCAAACTGCAAATTGTTTACGCTCTTTGCACCTGGCAGCTAAACGCAGGCTGCTATTGAAAAGTCCCTTCCAAGAGCTCGTAAACCTTGTAGCCAAAACATTCTCTGGTTTTGTTTCGCTTTCCCAGGCTTACACTCAGAGTCCAGCCCCTTTGCCAGTAACTTTCCAGGACCGTTACCTAGCAACAATGCATTTCAATAGGACGTCTTATCTACCACAAAAATTTGTGGAATGCAGGCTTCAGCCTTCAAGCTGCAGGCCTCTTCTCCCGGAGCTCTTGTTTTCTTTGAAACGCAGCTCCGTGAACCAGGGATTAATCTTCCTGCGTTCACACTTTTAGCCCGAAATGCAGCATACCTTGAACTTTGTTGCTCTGGAAAACACCTCTTCTTTCCATCAGCTGTCTGTGGAGCCTCTGGCTTCTTTCAGACGCTTCTATTCCTCCTTGAAGCAGTGGAGGACAATCTACCAGCCTCTCATGCAGATGTCCGATGAATCGCAACCATCCGAAGGCTGCCACTGTTGGAATTCTGCCTGGGTCAGAGGAATGTGCCACAGCGTAGGCACCGGCAGATATTCCTGTCGACCTCCCCGCGTCTCCACTCTGCTGATAAGCAGGCGAGGTCCAGCGATTCTTCTCAGATGTATGAGAGGAACACACCGTTCTTCCTCTCTCCCCTTTGGTGTCCCCAGGGAGGGAAAGAAGCAGACAGAAAACTATTTACATCATTTATTTCTGCCTCTTACATCAGTACAGAGAATCATGTCTGCACTCAACAACAGCAAGAAGAAACTCCTCCCAAGTACATCCAGTACGGGTCATATGACACACACACACTGAGCTAACATCCGGTGCTCAGTACAGAATGGACTGCCCCTTTGTTCCCATGGCAACAGTCACAAACATCCTGTCTGGCTTTCCAGCCACAAGCAGCTGGCTGAGCTGCTAGAGCCTTTGCTTGCTGCAGCATTGGTGCTTTATGGTAACATCACCTTCTACCACTGAAAATCTTATTTAGTAATTTCTCTGGCTTTTTTTAGATTTCAGCATGCATTGCCTATACTTTTTTGTAAAGATGGGGGAGAAAATTGATTGCTGGGGACTTTAAAATGAAGGAAAGAAATCACAAACTGATGTAGAAATACAGAGAAATGAACTTAATATTTTTTTGGAGGGGAGGAGGGATGAGAAAGCAAGAGAAACTGAGATTGAGATGTTCACCAATCCCAAGCAGGGAACCAAATGTTGTATTTGAACCACATTTTTCTGTTTTTTTTCAGAAAGTGCAGGTGGGCGGATAGCAAGCTTAGTTTATTTGCATTCAAATGCATTCCTACTCTTAAATAAGTTTGTCTGCCCAAAATGGAGGTATAAAAATAAAAAAGCAGGTGCTAAATAATTCTACCGAGTGCCACTATAATTCTTGCTCAGAAACCACTGTCACTTAGCTTGCTTAAGCCTATGGTGTTTCCTCTTCATCCCTCTTTCTAACCTTTCCCCAATTGACCAGGATTATGACAAAGCCCCCATTCAATGAGGGCCTAAAGAGATACCTTCAAAGTCTTTAGATTCAACAGACAAGCTCCAACAAAGCTCGACACTGAATCAAGTCAGGAGGTTTCCCCTAGAAAGGATCCAATTAAAGCAAATGCAAACCTCACATTAACGTTCTCTTGGAGGTTTCCAGTCCATCTCCAAAATAATCATGCTACTGTAAAATACACAAAAAAGAGAAGAGAAATCAAACTCCAGAGTTCCCAAGGGAATGGAAATTGCCCCGGTGCTGCTAGGTTTTGTTATTGTTGTTTACACGGCCTTCACCCGAAGTTCCCAGGGTGGGTAACAATGTTAAAACACAAGTTTATAAACTGTTTGAAGCAACTTAAAATCACAGGCATCATTTTAAAATATACATCGCAAGGGTCGAGAGCAGATCCTGCTAGTGTCTCTATTTTCCAGGGACTGTCCCAGATTTACAGTAGCCGTCCCAGTTTCTGATTTGATCCTGGAATGTCTTGCTTTTCTTCAGGGCGTCCCTATTTTCACTGGAGAAATGTTGGAGGGTATGCAAAAGCTTGGGTAAAGAGACATGTCTTCAGCATTCTCTGGAAGCTGTATGATGAAGGTGCCAGACACTCCCTGTGGGGAGTTCCACAACTTAAGGGCTACCACAGAGAAGGCCCTGCCCTGGGCCCCACATGCACTTGAGCCTCTGAAGGTGTAGGAAATAGCAAGAGGGTCTGAGGATCTTAGCACCTAACAGGGTCTGTGGGGAAGGAGGCAGTTTCCTATCTATTTCAGGCCAAAGTCAATAAGGTTGTTGGGGTCTAAGGCATTCATTCTGTGCGGAGACTGAAATAACTTCTTTGACGGCAGGAGTAGTCAGTGAGGAGGAGAGGTTAGCACACCTGGCCTCCAGGAGTGAAGGGGAAGCAATGTGTCAGGGAGGTCAGTGCTGTGGGGAGCACTGGCAGGAGCACTGAGTTGGCTCCATTGGTGTGCCTGCACAGCACTGATCTCCTTGGCCGTTCTCCTCCATATGTTCTAGTAAGTGGTATCAGCTGTGCTGCCAGAAGGCCAGGTCAACAGTGGTGCAACCAACTCACCAGCTGCTTCTGCTTTATAAAACCTCTTCACTGCTTCAAACAATTCACCGGGGGGGGGGGGAGTTCTGCAGCAGTGGCTTGTTTTGCAATGCACTACTGGAACTCTTGACACCCACAAGACCTTGAAATGTCCACAGACATGGTTGGTGAAATATGATCTCTGTAACTCGTACCATTGAGCAACCAGATCAGTACAGATCACCTAGTTTGGCAGGGATGAGGAGCGACATAGCCTGATAAAGAACACTAGGGAACTCAGAAACTTGCACTCTGTAGTTGGCATATTGCTGGACTAAATAAAGGTCTTGCCCTAATGTGGACTTTGGATTTCTTCCCTTAATGGCCAACACAACCACCTTTGGTTTTTTTGTGTAACTTGAAGACAAAACTTAGACATTCAGCTGTGAGATCCTAAAGTGAAGGAAGATGAATGTTTACTACCTGAAGATGGTACCTCCGACTTTCGTTCTTGATTAATGAAAACATTCTTGGCAAATGCTTTCGCTCTGGTTCGTCTTGCGCCGATCCAAGAATTTCACCTCTAGCGGCACAATACGAATGCCCCCGGCCGTCCCTCTTAATCATGGCCCCAGTTCCGAAAAAACCAACAAAATAGAACCGGAGTCCTATTCCATTATTCCTTGCTGGAGTATTCCAGCGACCGGCCTGCTTTGAACACTCTAATTTATTCAAAGTAAATGCTTCGGACCCCCGGGACACTCAGTTACGAGCGCCGAGAGGCAGGGGCTGGGACAGGTGGTAGCTTGCCTCGCGGCGGACCGCCAACTCGATCCCAAGATCCAACTACTTTTTTTTTTTTTTTAATGGAGGATGCATTTCCTTCAGCAGCCACGGTGGAGTAACAATGGGTTGGAATGTGTCCACAAATTCTGATAACCCCTGTGTGGCGTGCATGTAGAAACCAGCCTACTCCACCAACAGGTGAAATTGGCATGTTTTGCTCTGACCCATTTGCCTCTGGCTCTGCCCACCACTGGCATGTGGCCCCCAGAACATTGCCTGGAAGGGAATGTGGCCCCCGCATTCTAGCCTGATGAGATCAAAAGCTTGCACAATATTCTGTGGCATTTTAGATGACTTATTAAAGGTATTGCCGTAATGTTATTTGTTTATTTACAATTAAACATAACAGCTAACCCAGTTCTTTGCAGAGTTGGTTCTAAAATTGTCCACTTCCACAGCATGTTTCTTATACAAATAAATGACCAGGTCTCCATATTTTGCTGTCAAGATTTCCGGGAATCTTAGGACAAATCACTACAGGAGTGGGGCCCTTAGGGGGTTTTTTTGGGGGGGGGAGAAGATTTTAATGACCCCCCTCCATGCAAAGGGTTCATCACTGATGGATTGTTCCTTTCCATCTTACAGCCCCTCTGGTCACAGAGTGGATGAGACCCAGTGGCATTCCGTTCTTGGAGTGGGGGGCAGAGGGAGAAAGGGAAGATTTATTTGCCATCATCAGAAATAAACACAGTTCCTCAGAAGTAAACACAAAAGAATAGGACCTGGCTGGGTTCCCAACTCGTTAAAGATGCAAATTAGAAACAGGCCATCAAAACATGAGGTTGCGCTAATCCTTGCTCAACAACACAAATCGTCAAATTAGCCTCCAGTACAATGACATTTGTGGCATGTAGTGCCAGGTTTAATACAATAGGTCCTAGAGGGAAGGATGGGGCCTATCCAGCTTCCGCTTTGTCACCAGTGATATTTATTCATGGTAATGAGGACAGAAGGCTCTTAGCCTTAACTCCCAATCCCTTCTGCTGGCACAGTTGCTGCTAATGCAGCCACAGGTTTATCCTTCCATTTATTGGAAAACTTCCATTCAAGTTCCTTCTCCAAGTTTCTTGGCACTTTTCTTATCAGCCGTGTGAAGGCTCAGAGTTTTCAGAGAGTAAGAAAGTCATTTATTCAAACCATGGGAAGTGCTGGAGGTGGGTCAGGCTCTTCTGGGTAGCTGCTTAAGTGCACAAGAAGAGTCTGGGTGGATCAGACCAAAGACCTATATAATCCAATAATCCAGCAATCTGTTCTCATAGTGGCCAACCAGATGCCTATATGGGAAGCCTTACAAGAAGAACAGGCTGCCAGTTCATTTATGGGCCTGAGTTAAGATGCCCACTCTAGTGTTCAAAGCCCTAAGAAACATAGGTCCCAGATATCTAAAAGATCCCTCTGTTCCTTCCTGACAGACTTTGTCGGGTATTAGGATCAAGAGGGGAGGCCCTATTGGTTATTCCACCTGCCTCTGAGGTTCAGGAGAGATCTTCTCCATGGAAAAACTGTAATTCATTTTCAGGGAAAAGATATTATTAATTATATAGCTGATTTTGCTTCTGCAAAAGTGACGTCTCATAAATTCAGCCCAGAGCATGTATTTTTTGTTTTAATGTTAATAAATGGAATGGACGTTTTATGTCCACACATATACTGTCAAGTATTTACCATGACTTACAGTCTGTGCAATGAAGAACTTGACTTGCGCAGGATTTTGCTTAGGAACACATTTCCTTGGGGGGTAAGCCCTATTAAACATAGTGGGACTTATTTCTGAGTCGACACACAGAAGATTGTGTTGTTCATCTCCTGATGCCAAAGAGATTTAATAACCAAACCTACCCAGCATGCTGCTCAGTCTCCTAGCCCTTGGCAGTCGAGCAATAAGGAAGCATTCACTGGGCACAATTGCTGTGTGCAAGGTGCTCTGGGTAAAGCCTGCTTTTCACTGATGGTACCCATTTCCTGCTGTACAGAACAGAGAACACGACTGAACCTACTGAACCTCTTTTCAGTGCCAGGACACAATCTCAGAATACATGGGTTTAAATTTTAAAAATGAAAGTCATTTTGAGCACGTACAGAATGTCTTTTCTTCATCACCAATTAACCACACCATCAACCATCACATGCTTCTACTGTCAAGGGATGTGATTGTCCAAGCAACCTGCATATTGTGTTTAGGGACAGTTAACTGTGCAACATTCTCTTAAGTGCAACCCAGTTTCCACATCACCCATCCATATCCATCTCTCTCTCTCCCTTTACCCTAAAACAAGCCCTGCTGCAGGATTGTGGGTTGAGCCCTGCCAAAGAGGGCCAGTAACAAGCACAGCTTAAGATTTCCAAGGCAGGGCTGGGTCCTTGCACCTTGAATTTTACAACTTATGAACCAGCCAAAACAGTTAACCTGGGCATGTTGTGCTTGACTTAATATAATAATGAACAAACAGTGGAGGCTGCTCCTTAAAGTGTACCCTATCCACCTCTGTCCACCCTAATCCAGCCTCTACCTGCCTGCTTTCTTACCTACAGCCAGGCCAAGGGGTGGTACTGCATGCCACCTTCTTCTTCCTCAACCTCAGGGTGGCCCTTGTAGACCCCAGCAAGAAAGAAGAGGACTGGGAGACAATTAGAATGAGTTGGCTCCACCTATCAAAGGTTCTGGCGCCATCTACTGCTGGCTTCCCCAACTTTCTTCCACTCTTCCAGTCCCAACAGGCTCCAGCCACTACTGTGAACACATGACAAAGTGTCTGCAGAGTCTAGTCTGATTTTTTAAAGTAAATATTGGTGCATGAGGGTGCGCCAAGAATTTCTTTGCTTGGGAATTTGGCTTCCTCCTTTGAACTGGCCAAAAAGTAGCTGGCCAGTTCTAGCATGGTCTGAATTTCTATTCTGTGGCCCAGAGAAAGGAGCCGGGGAAGAAGCAAGTGAACGACACCCACAGACAGTATCGACAGAATCAAGGAGGCTGATTAAGGGACATGATCCAGCAAAATGCCCTCTTCATTGCAGCCCACTGTTTGTAGAGTTGTGTGCTTGCTGAACAGCAGCCTCAATCAGCTGCCTATGTAAGAATTCAATCAGTGCTAATCTAACACAATGCACCACCTGCTCCCCAGCTGATTTCTAGTGTTCTTCAATCAAAAGGAGGGGAGGGGGGAGGCAAGTAAAGAGTTTATTGCCAGCAGTGTTAGCAGACCTGAAATTCAAGAACCTAGAGCCCTCTAGTCCTTGTGTTGTTTTTTTTATATATATAAATTGTCTTCAGTCTTTGAAGCAGGGAGGGAGTGGGAAGAAAGAAATAAGAAGATGGAGAGAGAAGATTCAGTGCTGTTGCAACTCGCTCTGTAATTAAGTGCCAGTAATTAACATGTGTTAATAGTAGGCTATGGCCACAATGAATCAGGCATCTCACCACAAAATGTGTTTTTCCTTCCCCTGTTAGGCAGAAATGCTGCCTCAAACTCACCAAAGCAAGCACAGCCCATGGCACATGGGTGCTGGAGATGAACATTTTACCAGCGCCTTTATATTTCCGCAGAAAATCTTCCATTTCATCAGTTCATTAGTCACAATGAATGGATAGCCATTACAAATAAAGTATCAGGCAAGCTTGGGAGTTTAAAAGTTTTTAGCTTTCTTTGCTAACTGCAAGTAGAATAAACACGGTAATTTAGATCACACTCTAGGGCATCAGAGAAGTTTCCAATGCAAAATGAGGTCACAAAATACACTAATTTGTTCAGGAAATTGCTGCAAGGTATTTTCCAGTTCAAAATGTCCTAGGAAACACGGGGCACTGCAACATGCCCACATTCCACACACAGCACAGGTAGAGAATCTGCGGCCTAAGGGGCTGTGTGAAACTGCCCACTTCCTTCAATGTGGCCAAAGGAGGAAGAATGAATGGAGGAGAATGGATGGTGGATGAATGAAGGGGTTGGAGATTTGGTGCTTGTGCATGCGTATTTGCAAATATGTCTGTGAATGCATGTGTGTGAATAATAAGAGAAACAGAAGGGGTGTCCTATCCACTTTTTGCTTTAGAGTCACCCATAGCCCCTGAGCACTTACACCAAGGGAACACAGTCCTCAGCCCACTCCTGGCGTACAGATTCTGACTAGACTTTCAGTGTAAAGTGCAAATTATGCAGGCATGCATTAAAAGCTGAACCTCACTGAATTTATCCCCCATCCCTCAGTGGCAGCTGGGGCCAGGACAACAAGTGAGTAGGCTCCACTGAACAGAATGGAACTTACTTTCAAATAAACGTGTATAAGATTGCACTGTTAGGGCCACTTCAAACTATTCTGATCCCTTTGCTACCATTCCTAATCAACTGTGTTCCTTTGATCAATGTTTGAAGCTTGTTGTATACATACACCTGTGATTGCCTTCAAGAGCTGAACTCGACTTGAATAGAAGAGAAGGCCGAAATCTTTTTGATCGTAGGTAGAAGTTGCAGATGTTTACTCTTCCATATACTTTTCCCCCATACACCACTGGAAGAGAATTCCTCTGCAGTTGAACAGCTTGATCCTGCCACAGTTAAGCACTCACCACTGATTTCATCTAGTTAATTGTTCTCTCTCTCTCACTGAAATAACTAGCACTTAATAATGTTCAGCTTTGGTCAGGCAGTGCCCAGTTGTTACAAAAGCATCATATTCTCATTTGTATTGAATAATGTGGAATTTTGTTTTAGTATGCAAACACCAACAGGGAACTCTGTCTGTGTGTCAATGGATTAGGGAAAGTGACTTGGTTGGGTGAATGGATACAGAAAAACAATGTGTGGGGAAAGGGTCCAGCGCCTTCTTCTCGACTGCTTCTCTCCTGCAAATTCCCCTCCTCGAAGCTGCTTTCCCTACAAGATGTGGCTTCACATCACATTTATATGTACCACACAGTTTGGCTCTTAATAGGGTTCAGCTCATACTTCCCCTTCCTACCCATCTCCAATTATTGCCAAAGATGTATTTCATATAAGGATCCCAAGT